CCACTCGCTTTCATATCATGTAAACGAACTAATGTCAGGCGAACTCCGCCCATAAACTTAACATTTGAAAATTAATGGAAAAGTTGAAAATATCTTAGATGTTTTTCTTACATCCTAGATGCATTTTAGGAGTAAAAAGAATTGAAAGGTTTGATCGCCTATTAAACGTCTCCTTTAAAAAGGGCAACTGCGAGAGGGTAGTTTGAATTTCTGTTTATTACAGCCATGAAAATTAAGGGGGAAAAATGGGTGGGACTTCTGTTACACATGGTTAGGTAAACAATGCACTCATACACCGATGAGGTAAATAATGTTTGAATACCATTTTAAAGGAAATCATCCTGTGAAGCAGAATTTATTACAATTAACTGATATGAGAAAATAGCTAGTTTTCGGCCAAGTAAATCGATAAAGAAACTTTGTATAGGCAAATAGAAGAGAATAATTCCATTTTAGTAAAGTATTGTTATCAGTGCGACCTGATAAAATTTAAGGTCAGTGAGGTTAATGGATGAAAAAAAACTCTCCAAACACATCTAAAGTTTTATTGACTCGAAGGTTAGTAAATGTAGCAACCATACTTTCAGCTGGTTTAAAACTATCTGCTTTCTGCGAAGAGATAGTATAAGACATGATGTCTTCAAATTTGAAATGAAACATCTATGTTGAAATATTTATGCTTAAAAAGCATCAGTTAATTAAATTTGTGTATTAAAAGTATTTTATTAGGAAAGTATTTTTATACTGTTAATGCTCACTGGCCATTTGATTGTCTCGCTGTTCACTAACCGACATGAAAAAGTGAAATCAGTTTATCAAATGAACAAATTGTGATTTTACCTTAATGAGTTTCTGTGTCTACAGCATCCCCTTCAATATAAGTGAATATCTCCTAATCAATTTTTCAATTTATGAATGAATCCGGGATTTGCAAATCACACATTGCGAGGTGAAATTTCACACTGTTTCTTTTGGAAACGGCAATTCCTAGATTGAAACATGTTAAACACACACCGGACAGCTGTTTCGCTCATTTGGAGCCAAGCTCATCAATAGTGTGTCCTGTTTGACTAAGCTCAGAGAGCTGAATAGTTTCAAACCGTCTGAGTTCGAACTAGCTACTAGGGAAAAATGGTGATAATCTTTGTTTCCTAAAGAAACTGGCGAAGTTTCACTTCCAGTTGCGTGAACTGCAAATGGTATAATAATTCGCGAAAATTTCGAATTTCATCCAATGTATTAAGAGTTCTCTCAGGTAGTTAGGCAGAATTTAGGAGACTTCAACTAAATCAACTCTGTGAACTAAGTCAAACGGGGAACACTGCTGATGAGCTTAGTTCCATACGATCGAAACGACGTCCAGTGTTCACATCACTTCCATCTTACTGACCAGCGATCACTGCTGGTTGGCTTGAGTGGAATTCATCTAAACATATCAGTCAACTGGTAGCATCTAGTGTCATAAACATTATGCTACATTTAAAATCTTCAACATACGTAATAATTTTGTTTTCAATAAGTGACTCAATCACCAGGAAAGCAGCTTAACCTCTGATTGAAATTTAATTCAGTAAGAAATATTTTCGAGTTAAACTAGAACGGAGATAATTTTTCAGTGCTGACATGTATAGACTTTTTAGCTGTAAATATGCTAATTCATAACGTTGACATACAGTTCATGCTGATAGATAATTCATCATTCAGTTTCAGGCACAGAAAATGTTATTCCTAAAGGAACACAAAAACGCTTGATAGTAAGGCTAAGAATTATGATCAGTAATAATCATTTCCCACTACGCCGATTTTGTGATAGCTACCTTGCCGGGAAAGTGTATTGTAGAAGGATATTAACGTCGTCTTTCCGACAAATAGCTTTTGGAAGTTATAAAAAACAACTGTGTCCATAAATGCCTTGTTGGTCAATATAATTATTTTATTAAGTGTTTGTAGGTTGTCCTGTATGGTAACATATCTGTCTTCTATTGTGATAATTGGAGCATTTTCAAATATTTCACCATGTAATCTAATCTGCAGAAAGCTATGAATCTAGCTGTAGTATTTTTTGAAAATTCAACAGGCAGATTGATGTGCAACCTTCAGATTAGAACATCAGTTAATTGATGATCAACTTGAAGAGCTTAATACCAAACTAATAAAGTTACACGCTGACCATTTCGAGATTAGATGATAGGAGTAAAACAAGACTGCCTACTACCACAGATGCTATTCATGATTGTAGTAGATATGCAACAGACCACAAGAAGTGAGAAAATAAGAATACGTTACGATGATAAGAAGACTATAGAGGTTTTGGACCTCGTGGACGATTTATGTCTAATGTCATACAACCATGAAGATCGCTAGGTGACAACCAAAAAGTTGACAGAAGAAGCAGCAAAGACAGGACTTTAAGTGAGCGTAGAGAAGACAGAGGTGATGCAGACACCTAACCGAAAACAACAAGCGCTAATCTCTATCATCGGGAGAAAAATTCGAAGATCACTTCTTTCACTTATCAAGGAAGCATCACTTCAGTTACAGGAGGTGGGTATGGAAATGTCAAGGGCAGAATCGGAAAGGCAAGACAGACCTCCGTTACTCTGAAGTCAGTCTGGAGAGCTACTGCACTAAGTAAAAAGAACAAGATTTAAATATCCAAAACTAATTTCCAAGCAGTGCTTCTATATGGTTCAGAACTTGGCCGTCACGGAAAGCATTTCTTACAGACTACTGACTTTTATCAACAGCTGCCTTCGCTCCATACTAAAGATTAAATGGCTAACCGGAAAGGATTAGTGACAAAGAACTCTATTAATGAATCAACCAGCAACCCAGTGTCCAACAAATATAGCGAATAAAATGGAGGTGGATCGAACACACGATGAGGAGACCGTTGAGTTACATCAAGCACCAGGTCCTCTAGTGGAACCAGAATTGAAGACAACGTGCTGTGCTTGCGTTCAAGAGTGGTATGGTGGAGTTGATAGCTAATGGAAAATGATGGAGCCATCATAAGAGGACTTCAGAGGACAGGATGAAATGGAGATATGTTATTGAATCCCTATGTTCTACTAGGAAAATATGGCAATAGTAATAATAACTGGTTATGATTTCATTGGTGACCAGATAATATCAACCAAAACTTTAGTGTTATTATTAAGTTATGGCGCAGAAGTTCTATCTAAACTGAGATTGAAGCTGCCATCGACACTCAAATGTCGACCAAATTGTGAGGCCTAACGACAGATTAACAGATAGCTTGTTATAGCATTTGCATACCAAATATACTTTGAGGTTTTAATTATACTTAGGGACTATATAGAGAGAAGGCTTACTACATTCTGACCTCATTGTTTGAAACAAATAAAACGCTTGTGCGTTAGGTGTAATTTTGAAGAGTTTGAATCACATGGTTCCTTTGGCTAATGCTATGTTTTATCAGTTTAATTTTGTCATAGGATGAATGATGCCAACAAGTGTTGCCGTCGTATTCTAATTGATGTAGTTTGTGATATATGATTGACAGGTTTAGTTATTATATCTACTTAAATAACTGAGTCACACGATACTAATCTCACTGTAAAATACCATAAGCAGAACGCTTAACGAATTTGCCAGTTAGTGATTGGAAAGATCCAATGGAGAACACCTCTTTTCTTAATAGATGTCTTTGGAATGTTATATAAAGACACAAATCAATAAGTACTATTCTTAGCGTAGATTAGTAACCGGAACCTTCATCACATATAAGAACTGAATGACGTCAACATCTCAGGCTAGATTAAAACCCCATCAGAAACTGCAGTGATACTCATAAAATTAAAACGGAAAATTGTACGAACAACAACTGTATTACTATTAATAATAACAGTAGTAATCATTCGAAACAACGAAAATATACCGAAATTTATAGAAAATAATAATAATAATCAAATAAAACCATCAGTTAACAAATAAAATAAAAAAAGCAATTAAAAGTATCAAGAATGAAATGAAGTTAAAATCATACTCCTCAAACCTCATCGGTTGAATGTAAAGTCAGCGTTTCGGTCAGGAAATAACCTGACCCTTCCTCCCTCCCTCAAAAATTATCCAAGTGAGAATACGACGTGGAATATATATTCAATGACTAAATAGTCATGACAACATGAATGAATAAAGGAATGATTCACAAGAAAAAACAAGCACACAAACAAACAAGTACAAAGAGGTGATTACACTGATAAGACTTCAAGCGCTTATATGAAAAAAAAGAAGCTTTGGATAAATGCGTTTGCGTGTATACAACAAAGAATGTTTACTTTAGGCTGATTAGATATTTCATATATGAATGCACATATAAAAAGAAAATCTAGAACACGATTTTGTACACTGAGTAAGAAGAAGCAGACAAAAATTAACTGCGTTTATAATTCGTGACTTTAATTGACGCCTATGTCTCCTTTAAATGAAATTGAATGTAACTAAGTAGCATTAAGGAAGTACAAGACTTATAAGTGTGATATACATGCATTTCGATTGACTTTTAATAGAAAAAATGCATCAGGTATTGTAGACGTTATAATGATACAAAGAATAAGAGGGATTCTTCTTAAAATAGAGGAAAAAAAGTGAACAGTACAAATGTCATGACAATGAAACTAATGACAACAACCATGACAAGAGTTTCAACAAAGTTTAAAATGAATTGAAAAAAAAAACAATGAAAAGCAAAATAATCGTGGAGTTATTATATTCCAAAAAAGATAATTAGTTACTTGTATTATAATAATATTAATTCAGTAATGGTCACATCATTCATCTGTGTATGAATTTTTAAATGAACATTGAATTTTTATGCGGCGATCAATGTCCAATGTGCGATTACAGCGTTCGTGTACATGGTTGTATGCGCAAATTATATATGTATATATTTTTTCATTTATTCCTAGACTGTGCGAGAACTCATAAAATAAATGTAATGACTGGACAACATATTGGGATGATTATTCATTATTTATTCACTGTTGTAATGCAACACCTTCTTCCCCAGCATCTGATGTTTCATAATATCTAGCCTCTTGCATCCTGGCGTAATTCATAGCAGTACAAATGATTATCTGTATCTAAAATATGAAAAAATATATTTACGTGAATCAGTATTATAAAGGTATCGAATTTTCAGAAAATAAAATATAGGCTGGAAAATAAACTTTTACTTTATGTTTATTGTCAGTAGATTAATTCATGACGCCCTCATCTTCCTAAATGAGGCTGGTTACGTTGATGAACCACAATGATACAGAAATTCAGTGCTAGTGTAACAACAGAAGACAAGGGTCAGGCAACAGATCGTTTATTATGGAAATCAACACATATTTATAGATTTTCATGTACATCATTTTAGATTATTGTTAGCAGGAAAACACAGTCTTCTGATTGGTTGTTTCTCACTGAAAGTTAACCTTGCATCTCTTTGTGGCTGTTTCTTGAATGTTAGATCATCTATATGTTTACTGTATCCGCCTACGCAAAGCCTTTGCTCTCATTTCTCTCACGACTAATATTGGGGACATAAAAATTGATGTAAATTACTGTCCACCAATTTTGACTAACAGCCAGCTCTCACCAAACTAGTAGTGATTCTGAGTGTAAACATGTTATATTCTCCTCATGGGATATTAGTTTCTCGACACAGTCTGTGATTATAGGTTTCCAGAACGTAGGTGTTACGAATCTTGTTTTGATTTTCTTAGCACGCTGGGACTAATTAGAATAATTTATAACTGTCTGTGATGTTTCTCTTTTTTATTTAGAGGAGATTACTTGATACCATTAAGATTTTTTAAATCGAGTACGAATTCTTAAGAAATCAGATTTCTTCAAGAAGAATGCAAACTAAAACATGATTGCTTATAATTTTGGGCAAGGATATAACTCTTGTTAACTAATTTAGCAACTTTTTAAAATCTCTTGTTCATGTAACCTAATTCATTCAGTGCTACTTATAAGCTCTATTTAATTTCCATTTAGGTACCCATCAATCGTGAGCGACTAGAATCCGCAGAATATGTAGCCCCGAATCAGTAGAAGAAGAGATTGCTCTTTTGAGGAAGACATTACTTGAGAATGGCTATCCGCAGCGGTTTATAGATAGACATATAAAGCCGGAAATCAACGAAAAACAGCCCATCTCTGTGCCGAAGTAGATGTCATACATGACTGTGGCGTTCGAAGGCAACTTTTTGGTTGAAATCATAAAGGGGAGAATATCTAACGCATTAAAAAGAACATTCTCTACTGCTACATTACGATTGGCATTCTGAAGCCACCTCCAGAGATAAACTATCGCATCAGACCACTTCTATGTGTATCTACCAATTTACTCACTTTACTCACCGAGTGGAACCCGAAAGGGCGAGTGGTCGCCAAGGGTGACTTGGAGGAGGTTACTCACCGACGCACAATGTATGGTTCACAAACGGAATAGGAGCAGTATCGGCAGGTAGAATGAAATGAAGAGTAGACTGGTAAAGAATAACTTGTGAATTTTGTATGCTATCGATTAAAGAGTGATAAAATGAATTGATTATTCTAATTAAATTCGAAGCAACTACACTTAGAAAAAGATCAGACAAAGTATTATTTATTGTTAGGGTTATTTAACATCAAAATATTATCTACTACTTTAAAACTGAAATGATTTTTCCTTACAAACTACGAACTGAGGTCGTGAAACTGTTGGTTTCGTTTTGATTGGAAATATCAAGTGAAAATCAGAAAAAAAATATTTTTCATCTTAATATATGTATATAAGGGAAATTATTCAGACTTCCCTGTTAATCAATGAGGTTTTAAAAAGAACGCTACACTATTTATTGTGTCTGGTGTGTAAAATTGAAATTCTCAATATACCTTTACAACAACAAAAAAAACAAAGCAAAACAAATTAACATGCATACTTACATAACCAAACAGTAGTAGGAATAAACCGGCGACGGCAAGTATGACACAAACTAAAATATCGTGTATTCTATCAGGGAAATTTGCTCTTGCTATGTGTATAGGAAGACCATTTTGGTCATATAAACCTGTTTAAAAGAAAGGCGAAAAAATTACAGTTAGCATTTACGAATTTTAGTGAATAAACTGAAAGCAATAGCGTCGTTATTTCAAAATTCAGCAACGAAATTATATATAAGCTAAGGTTAAAAGTAGTATCATGCCCAGTAAGCTGAAATTCATCTCAAATTCTATTAGAATGTAATCAATTTTATGTTAACATAGCGTTAAGAAGATATGTGTTGTAGGTGAGAACAAGCGACGGTGAATTCTGTAAATATATTTGATCAACTGCAGTTTAGCATTAAATTTCATTTAAGCAATAAAACATTTGCACAATTAGCAGTAGCTATACATTCATGTTAGCAGTATTCATTCATACTGTCTGCAATACAAAAGTGAGGAAATAAAAATAATTCGCTTGTAACATCGTGCAGGAAGAAATGGAGGTGGATTGATCATACTCTGAGAAAACCATCAAGTGAAGTCACAGTCCGGGACATCGCTCGACTAGAACTCGAATGGAAAGTGGTGAGCTGGTCGTCAGTGCGAGGGGGACATGGAGGAGGTCATGTGAAGAGGAGATGAAGGCATATAGGCAAACGTGGAGCCAGGTGAAAACGTTTGCCAGAAAACCGAAAGCAATGGAGACGTGCAGCTGAAACCCTACGTTCCTCTAGGAATTAAAAGAAACAATAATAATAATATCCATCGGTGTAAGGCATATTTAGATTATTTCATCACTTGTTGGTTTCGCAACCTTAGTAAATTGCATAACAAATAAACATCACCAAAATTTTTTTTAAATCATCAGTTAACCACAACAGGAGTTCAGTACTGATTTCATGTTTTGAATAACTCTGAAAGTCTTTAAACTCAAATACTTACACAGTCATTTCTCATATTAAATTCTCAGTAACGGAATCCTATTAAAAATATTTAAAGACAATGAATTAAATATAATGGGTGTTGACTAAATACTACGATAAAATGTGTTGACGTGAAAAATAAAACTTATTCATGTGATTTATAGTTTTCACTTATATTTTTTATTTATTTCCGAATGTGAAATAAACTTCCTTTCGTGCAGCAACTAGTGTTCATTCTCTTGAAGTTATAAGCGCATATATATATATATATATATATAGGAACTTAATGACTCATTTCCAAAATTCAACCTATAAAATTTTTAATTTTGATTAAAAAGTTATAGAAGCTGCCGTGATCTTATCGCATAAAAATAAATTATAACTTTAAAATCTAGAAAATATTGTTTGGATATTTTTTTTAACAAAACAAATTAACTCTTTGGGCAAAACTACTTAGGTTGTTAGATGATTTGAAGCACATCAAATCGACTTATACATATACATATTTCCCTGATTGTGATATTTTATTCGAATAAAATCTGACTACAGTATAACTTTTGAACGGCTACACTTTAAAAATTAAAAATTAATTCAGTAGAAATGAATTTCTTACAGTATGATGAAGTTGTCCGTGAACGGCGATGGCATGGCTGTAGAATGCTCGCCAACCACGCATGTGCCTCGGGTTTTGATCCCCTGCCGGTGCACTCCTTTACCTTTCTAAGCCAGTAATAAGACTGGTAAGGAGGGAAGGTTGAGCATGAGGCTAGCAACTCCATCCCGTAAAAGTAAACACCCCTGCTACGGAAACTTCAGAGTTCTAGCTTGAAGCCCTATTTTTGACTGGGAATGTAAAGGAATAAACGGAAAATGGTGAAGCCATCCGATAATATAGTAAGATGGAATCTGTAAGTTTGTATTACTGAATATACAGTCTGAAAATGAAGCGGTTATTGTGTATAAAGCTTAAGAAATCATCCGAAAATTCATACGACAATCTATTCGGCAAAATAAAGTCGTATTTCCTTAAGGGTGTGTATGAAAAACTGAAGATGTTGAACTGAAATGCGTGTGTTAAGACTTCAGCTTGAATACCTGATAATTTTATCTGCAACCGTTAACAATGAAGTCGTATGATTAGTAAAGTTACACCCTTTTTAAATATGAGGTTCGCTACATAATTTTTGTTCCATTTATCTCTTAAATTTAAAAAGCCTATGAAAACAGTTGTTGTCAACTTAACTTCAAATGATCATATAAAATTATATTTTCCTAGCAGAATGATGACATGGAAACTGAACTGCGTACCTTCCAACAAAAGTCAATTTCCATGGGTATATTTTTTATGAGAATATGTCAGAAGAATAGATTGAATAGTCGAAGAAGCAGCCGGTGAACATTGACAAGACGGAAGTTATGAAAACAACCAACCAACAACAACAGCAACGACAACAACAGCAGCAGAAACATCCAACGCCAATCACCATCAATGGGAGGGATTTGAAAGAGGTCACTTCATTCACTTATCTAGGGAGCATTGTCTCAATTACAGGCAGTCGGAACGGACGAGGATGTCAAAGCGAGCGAGAATCGGGAAGGCAGGCGAGAAACACATTCATCAACCTGAAACCAATCTCGAAATCTTCGTCACTCAGCCAGCATCAACAACAAAATTCGGTCGGATTTTCAATACAAACAACGTCAAGTCAGTCAGTTCTTCTATACGGATGAGAAACTCGACGGGCGGGTCACAAAGAATATTTCCAACAGCCTGTTGCAGACCAGACCTTTATCAACCAACAACTGTCTTCGCTGGCTCTATACTGAAGATCAATCAGATGGCCGGGCCGGGTCGGAAAGGATCACCAACAAGAAACTATGACTGGAACAAACAAACAAAACAAGAACCAATCGCCAACCAACAAATATTCAGGAGAAAGTGGATGGAGATGGATTAGACACTCGCTCGCTGAGGAGGCCGGCTGGTGACATCGCGCGCGCGTCAGGCCATTGCTCGAGTGGAACCAGGCCGAAAGGGAAGCGGCGAGTGGGACGTCAGTGCGAGGGTGACATGGAGGAGATCGTGTGAATAGGAGTTGAAATAGTATGGACTAACTAACATGGATGCAGGTGAAGAGTACAGCAGAAGGAAGACAGAAGCAAGTGGAGATGTGCAGTTGAAGCCCTATGTTCCACTAGGAATCCAAGGGAACAATAATAATAAAAAGGCCTTTACAGAATTATTTCCTTCTACACAGCAATCTAATATAACGATTATCGTTAAGGGCTTGAAATTACCAGATTCATTAGAAATTAGAATGGTTTTGATCAGGCTTTTATTTCAATCCATTCATCTGTGTGTCACTTACAAGCATTGAGTTTAAAGCTTCACAAATGCATAAAAACAATGTTGTTTCAGAAGAATTATTGTACTGTTGCGTGTTGTACTGTATTTTGTAATCTGTCTGTAAGTGTCAACCTTGGTCTTTAAAAAAGCTAATCCATAATGAATAGGCTCAGCTTTAGATGTTAACTCATATAAAAGATAGGTAGTGAATAGTGCGTTTTAGATTGTACCAATACATTCAAAATAATAAATATACCTACTCAAATTCTTTTATGTATATCGTTAAACATCCAAAGTGAAAGCTTAGTATAGCAAGTTGTTATAACTTATCAAATAACGATACATATTCAACATCACTTACATAAAACGCTACTGGCTTATTTATTACTTCTTCTGAAAATATTAACATCTCGTAAAACCGATAAATGAAAATTGTCAAATAGCTGAGTTGTTGGGTGGTGTAGTGATTACATAGACTGAATGGAGTTCAAGCGGAAACATATATCTTAGCAAGGTTTGAAAGAGTGTTCTATTTAGCTTTCTGTCCTAGATACGCGAAGTTATGAGACACAACTAGTGAATATATTTCATTCCATTCCATTAACACCAGTTTGCCGAACAAATGTTACCTGAAGTTAATGTGATTTCTTAATCATTTACAACAAGATTCTTTTTCCATTATTGTTATTTTGAAACTTTTTTAAAAGTATGTCTGCATTAAATTACTATTTTTTTCCATAATTAGATCATACAACGTTTTTCTATTTTTCTAAATATGATTTATCTATATCATTAACTATGGAGTAAGTATATGTACGTTTTATGTTGTAATCTTTTATCAGCATAATGCAGAATACATAATCTGTAAAATGATAAATAAAACTCATGCACAGGAATTACATAAATTCGCTTTGTTCACTCAGCGACTAATCTTTTATGGAAGTGAAATCCTAGGAGTTTGATGCTAGATGGTCGGAGGCAATTGGCAGGAAGACTTGGACCTAGGTTTAGTGCTAGTTGACACCCGCTAGTAGGGCGTATCTGCAACCTCAAAGGAGCTCAAATCCCTTCTGAGATTTGAACCCGCGTCACCCAGTGCTGCAGTCAGAGACATTACCATTGAGCTATGCGGGCTAGTGAGTGACCTCCTGTATGACTTTAGTAGATACTTTTACTGGATACTAGTAACTAGTGTGATGTGTCCAGTCCTTTCTTTGATGGAATTCAGTCTACTCCAAAGAACTAGACACATCACACTAGTTACTAGTGTCCAATCAAAGTATGCTAGGAGTGTATTTCGGTTAAAATGAACCAAAAAAACCTGTATACACTTGCATAACTTTCACGTATTTCTTTAAAAATAATTTCTATAGTTTGGTTTGTAGGGGTTAGTTTTGTTTTTACGAGTTGGTTATGGGTTGGTATCAGCTAGAGAACCATTGAAAACCAGGGAGTACTGGACAGCTGTTTCATCCTCCTAGTTTGGGAATCATCGGCAGTACACACCCACTGCCAGGGTTCGAACCCAGGACCTTCTGGTTACAAGGCAAGCTTGTATACCATTCAGACACTGGGACTCGATTCAGTGGCCAGCCCATGAATTCTAACTTCTACCATTTCGTGATTTAGCGCAACCCAGCCATTGTCGTTGGTGGGACATCCATCCTCACACGTGACATCTGGATGGACCTCACTGGTCTCGACTTCTCACTAGAACTCCAGGAAACTTCATCCTGTAGCAAGTCACTAGCGAGCATCAGATTAATTTTCTATAGTTTGGTTTGTAAGCGTTAGTTAACAATCCGTGATCAAATCGTTAAAAATACTTGTTAACTTTATATATTTTATCTGGACAAGAATATAGACCTCCAAGTACATGTTGCATAGTTTTTTTAGCAAAAGTAATTACTGTTAATTTCCACTGCGAATTTACACTCACTCCCCTGTTGGTCTAAACACTTTCAGCTAATATTAAATAATGATAACAAATAAAAAAAATTAGGTGTACAAATGTAGTCATGTTAGCATAAGGGATGAAAAGTAACTGTATAATTTGCTTTATTCGCTCTTATTACGTTTTAAAACATTTAAGCGAAAGTTCACATAAAAGCTACTCATATCTATGAGGAGTTTGCTCAATATGAAGTGAACTAATTTATGAGAACTAAATTAACTACGTTGCTTGATCATTGAGTCAGTTTTCCTCTGATTTGGAATCTTAACAAGTTTCACTTCAGTCATTTGTAAGTCAGGTGCTACATTCGTATAGTCGATAGCATTTGCTTATAGATCTGCGCCTTCAACGAACTAGTGATTGGTGGCAGTGTATACAAGCACAAAGATATCCACAAGGCTACATGGGTGTCACCAGACGGGCAAACCAAAAACCAAATCGACTTCATCTCAATCTCAAGGAAGTGGAGGCGCAGCCTACTGGACACAAAAGCAAGAAGAGGAGCAGACGTTGGCTCAGACCACTATCTCGTACAAGGGACAATCCAAATCAAATTAAAAGCTTTCAGGGAATCAGGAGCTGCAGATAGACCACAAGCCAAGTTCAACACTCAAAAGCTGAAGGACCAGGCTACAAAGGACATCTTCATTGCAAGCATAAAGGACAAAGCTGAGACACAAATCAACACCAGCGAAAAGGTCAGCGTCGAAAAGCACTGGAACAACTTGAAAACGGTGTGGAGCCAAACCTGCATAGAAATTCTAGGCAGAAAAAAGAGACAGGACAAACAGTGGCTCACTACGGACACTTGGAAACTAATAGAAGAGAGAAGGACAGTGAAGCAAAAGATTATCCAGTGCACTGACGAGCAACAAAAACAGGAGCTGAATGCAAGCTACAATACACTGAACAAAAGAGTGAAGAAGAGTGCCAGGGAAGACAAAAGAAAATATTATGAAACCATGGCAAACGAAGCAGAACAAGCTGCAGGCAAAGGAGACCTCGCCACACTCTACCAAACAACTAGGCACCTTTCGGGCAAACGTTCGACACAGATTAAGCCAATAAAGGACGACAATGGAAAGTCAATCACCAAAGAGGTGGAACAGAGAAAGCACTGGGTTGAACACTTCAAAAGACTTCTAAATCGTCCGCCACCTACAACACGTCCAGCAATACCAACAACGGAAGCAGAACTACCAGTGAACACTGACCCCCCGACGAAATCAGAAGTCCTGAATGCAATCAAGATGCTAAAAGCTGGGAAAACACCGGGACCAGATGGAATCCCAGCAGAGGCTTTGAAAATAGACCCAGAGACAACAGCGGACTTGATGACACCACTGCTGGAGAAGGTGTGGAAAGAGGGCAAAGTACCCGAGGATTGGAAGAACGGATACTTATTCAAACTTCCAAAGAAAGGAGACTTAAGTCAATGTAAAAACTGGCGTGGAATTATGCTTCTGTCCATTCCAAGCAAGATACTAAGTCGCATCATCCTGGAGAGAATCAAACAAGCCCTAGATGAAAAACTTCGTCCGGAACAGGCTGGATTCAGGAGAAACAAATCATGTATTGATCAAATCGCCACTCTACGGATCATCATTGAACAAAGCTTGGAATGGCAGTCACCTCTCTATCTCAACTTCATCGACTTTGAAAAGGCCTTCGACAGCGTCGATCGAGAGGTCATTTGGAAACTACTTCGCTACTACGGGGTCCCATCGACAATTATACACCTCATCCAACAGTTATACGACAATGCTGCATGCCAAGTAATCCACAACGGGAAACTTACGGAAGCCTTCGAAGTGAGGACGGGAGTGAGGCAAGGCTGTCTACTATCACCAATGATCTTCCTGATTGCAATTGATTGGATAATGCGACAGACAACGGCAACCAACGAGGGAACAGGCATAAAATGGACTGACACAAAAGACTTGGAGGATCTGGATTTCGCCGATGATATATGTCTGATTTCCCATAAACTGGAAGATATGCAAGTGAAAAGTAACAAGTTGGCAGAAGAAGCATCAAAGATAGGACTTCACGTGAACATAGATAAAACAGAGATGATGAAGATTCCTAGCCAACATCAACAGCAGCAACAACAACAGACAACAATAAGCATAAATGGGAAGAACCTGAAAGAAACAACCTCCTTCACCTACCTGGGAAGCATCGTCTCAACTACAGGCGGAACTGACGAGGACATCAAAGCCAGAATCGGAAAAGCAAGACAAGCTTTCATTACTCTCAAATCTGTGTGGAGGTCAACAGCACTCAGCATCAAAAATAAGATCCGGATTTTCAACTCCAATGTGAAGTCAGTGCTACTATACGGATCAGAGACTTGGCGAGTCATAAAGAGCATCTCAAACAAACTTCAAACCTTCATTAACAGCTGTCTTCGCTCAATACTCAAGATCAGATGGCCAGAAAAGATCAGCAACAGGGATCTCTGGGAGCGAACCAATCAGGAACCGATTGTGAAACAAATAGGCAGAAAGAAATGGAGATGGATTGGCCATACGCTGAGGAAACCATCAAGTGACATCACTAGACAAGCCCTCGAGTGGAACCCGAAAGGGAGGCGGCGAGTTGGTCGTCGTGCAAGGGTGACTTGGAGGAGGTCATGCGAGGAGGAGATGAAAGCATGTGGACAGACCTGGAGCAGGGTGAAAAAGTTGTCAGAAAACCGAAGGCAATGGAGGTGCGCAGCTGAAGCCCTATGTTCCTCTAGGAACTAAAGGATACAATAATAATAATATAGATCAGAGAAACGTTCAGTACAAATAAGCATGTGGTGGACAGCAAAACTATAGCATTATATTTGTTCAAGTGATTAGTGTTATATCACTTGTAATCATTTCATTATACATAAACAAGATTGGCATTCTAAGGCTTTAATGTTTACCACAAAAATTAATTAAAGTTCAAGAATTGCTATGTTTAATAAAACAAATATACCATTACATTTTCTAGAAAAAATTGTGAGAAAACATCTAAACGTACTTACCGTAGTAAGATAAGTCAAATGTCTCTTGACTGCACTGGTGAAATAACTTTATTGATTCAGGAATACTGAGAGCACGTTCCATTGCATTACTTAAGACATTTTCAGAAGAAAGTTTTGATGGTAGTAGTTTTTCCTCATATGTACTTACTACAGGAGGTGGTTGGTCGACCATTTTTGGACTTGTAGCTGTCGCTAGAATACCTTTATTTTGATTAGATTCATCTGTTTGTAAAGTCTCCTTCAATTCATCTGTAGTCAATACACTCTTATTTTCCATGAAATCCATATCAGTAGTATGATCAAGAAATGCTTCTTCAGTATCTCTACGCTTTCTTAATCTTTCACTTAAAGTCAACATTTCACGTGTATAACTGCTGCTTGGAGGCATAAATTCAGCGTTTAAATCTTGAAAACCGGTATTGAGTCGTTCAACAGAGGCTAGTCTAAGTCGAGTAGGTCCTTCGTTTCGGTATAAAAGAAGTGCAATACTGACAACTGGATAACTGACTAGACACGCAATTGCCGACCATAATATAACAGCCATTACTAACAGTATAATAAGCTAAAATAAAAAAAAGAAATAAATGAAACCAGATTAATTATAATAATTTCACAATATAGAGTGTACATGGTAAGTTTCCACAAGTTATACTCAGAATGTGTGTTGAAAATGGGTATAAAAACAATTTCGTTTTCGTGGAAGACCCTTTAGGTTTAATGAAATCCGTTCTATTCACGCATCACTTTTGTATAATCTATTTAGACTCTTTAAAAATGAGTTTATTGGGCTTTTGAAGTTGAAAAGTTATAGTTTTAAAGCTAACTAAATAGTTAACCTACGCCCAATCAGCTCAAGTCTGTTTATAGTCAATTACAATGAACCTTTACAAACTCCAAATAAACCTAAAGTGAAGTTTCTGAGATGTTCAAAAGAGCAATAATAAAAAGGTATATCCAGTATTGAAGAGGTTGACACTCAGTTTATAGCACAGATTTCTACTTGAAATTATAGGTCACTTTATGACATTTAGAAATTTTCTAGTGACTATTTATCTTGACTACGCCATGTGCCAGGTTGTCCACAACGGAAAACTCACCGAAGACTGCCTTTTGGAGTGAATATATGAGTAAGACAAGCTGGCTGCCGATTATCCCTGATGACATTCTTAATTAAGGTGGACTGGATTATGCTTCAGAATGTGAAGAGGGAGTGAGAAGACAGGAGTACGCTGGACCACCGATAAGAAGACTCTAGAAGATTTGGATTTCGCGTGTGGATGATTTATGTCTAATTTAACACAAACTCGAATACCTGCAGATGAAAAGCAACAAACTAGCTGCAGAGGCTGGCAGCAGAGACAGGACTGCAGGTGAAAAGAGAGAAGGAGGAGACGGAGGTGATGAGAATGACCAACCAACCAACCAACCAACGAACAGCAATAACAACAGGAACCAGCAGCAATCAACGGGAGAGATTTGACAGAGGTCACCTCCTTCACTTATCTAGGAAGCATCGTTTCAACTACAGGTAGTCGGAACAGATGAAGATATCAATGCTAGCCAACCCGCCAGAATCGGAAATGCAGGATACCTTTTCATCAATCTGAAAACAGTTTGGAAAGCTACTACACTCCATCTCAGAATGAAGAACAACATTCTGATTTTCAACACGAATGTAAAGTTAGCCGCTGCTTCTGTACGGACCAGAAACTCGCACTGCGCGAGAGTCACGAAAATGATTTAACAGGTTTGCAGACTTTTATCAACAGCTGTCCACTTCGCTGGCTCTATCCTGAAGATCAAATGGCCAGCAGGTCAGAAAGAATTAGTTACAAGAAACTGTGGGAACAAAGCAACCAAGAGTCGACTGCTCAACAAATCTGTGGAGAAAATGGAGATGGATAGGGCACACGCTGAGGAAACCGTTGAATGACATCGTTTACCAGACCATAGCTTTAGTGGGATCTGAATGGGAAACAATGAGTGGGTCGTGGAGGAGTTCGTGCGAGGGGGAGATGAGAGATTATGGGCAATCCTGCACCCAGTTGAAGAGGACGGTAGAGAGTAGAAGAAAGTGGAGATGTGTAGTTGAAACCCTATGTTTCACTCAGGACCCAAAGGAATAATATAACAATAATACATCTCTCACTGAATCGAATTTATATACTCCTTAATAGTCGCAGGACGGAGCAAGTCTCGATAAAGATAAGAATATTATTGCTGTATGACTTTCCATGCATCCTTGTCTATTCATATTATAGATTGCAGCCTACTCATATGGTGAACGGACTGAAGAAAGGAATGAGAAGACTGTGTAACATCCAACACTGAATCAGAAAAATGACTAATAATCATCTGACCGATTATTATCTCTAGATAGATAGACTGATGTGATATAAATGCTGGAGGGAGTTTCTCGTGTTAAGAATGGCTAGAATGCGAGTATACTTATACTTACTCACTTCTAGAAGTAAACGGTTTTTTGTAGAGTCGATAACGAATGAATAAAATAAGTGTAGGAGTAATGTGTTGCTAAATTGTCTAGATCACTTTCACTTCAACCGCTACCATAATGGTTAAACGTGTCAAAGTTGGATATATTTTATTGTGACCGAGAATCATTTAGGAACATCAATAATAATTTAAATAATTTTCCCTTCATGTTCCCAGTGGAACATAGGGCTTCAAGCTAGTGGCTTGAAGTTTCTGTAGCAGTCTTTATTTTACAGGATGGGGTTGCTGGCCTCATGCCCAACCTTTCCTCTTTACCAGCATTATTTCTGGCTTGGCGAGGTAAAGGAGTGCGTCGGTGGCCGGAGATTGAACCCCGACCATGTGCATGGTTGGCGAGCGTCTTAACCGCTGTGCCACCGACGCACTAAACATCAGGAACATCAATACTCCCAAGTAAACATTTAATGCCGTTCTTTTATCATACTGTACAAATGTAAGGTGACCTGAATAATTGTAAGCGTGACAACTGATATCTTGACGCATATCAAACACGTATATTTCCCTTCTTTGCATTCAAAATAAAGTACCGTATAACTTCCACTTCCATTGTTAACAGAAAAAAATTATTCTGAGCATTTATGATACACATAGATTTACTAATAGAATTTGTTTTTGCCTGTTACAAAAGAATTAAACGCTAAAAGCTTATGGTCACCTAGTTTGCAATGCTAGAACAAAGTGGTGCTCTACAGTGGTGAAATTAAATATCGATTGGTAGACATGCTTGGTCTTCTTGATATTATATTACTGGTACTGAATTATAGACAAAAATGTCTAGTGAAAAAGAATCAATGAGATACCAGCACAAATCTCTGCATCTTTATCTATATAATAAGCAAACATATGGTAGGGAATGTCTGGTTAGTCTCTACTGATTCTTCCCTGTCAGATATCAAATAGAATTTCAAGTGAAGATAAAATGTAGTTACAAAAACACTTTAAAACATCAGACAGATTCATGGGGTAACCATGCGGCTGAACAAAAGGTTTTGTAGGAATTGAAAAAGCTGAATTACAACTAGTGTGATTTCCTGGTTGCTTACTGCTTATAATCACATCAAAATGTTATCCAAACTAAGTATTTTGTGTATTATTAATTATTATTGTTTCCTTGGGTTCCTAGTGGAACATAGGGGTTCAAATGCACATCTACACTTGCTTCTGTCCTCCCTCTGCTGTACTCTTCACCTGCATCCATGTTATTGAGTCCTTACTGTTTCAACACCTCTTCACACGATCTCCTCCATGTCACCCTCACACTGACGTCCCACTCGCCACTTCCCTTTCGGTCTGGCTCCACTCGAGCAATGGCCTGACGCTCGCGCGATATCACCAGCCGGCCTCCTCAGCGAGCGAGTGTCTAATCCATCTCCGTCCACTTTCTCCTGCATATTTGTTGGTTGGCGATTGGTTCTTGTTTTGTTTGTTTGTTCCCAGCCATAGTTTCTTGTTGGTGATTCTTTCCGACCCGGCCCGGCCATCTGATCTTCAGTATAGAGCCAGCGAAGACATTTGTTGGTTGATAAAGGTCTGGTCTGCAACAGGCTGTTGGAAATATTCTTTGTGACCCACCCACCCCCGCCGAGTTTCTCATCCGTATAGAAGAACTGACTGACTTGACGTTGTTTGAATTGAAAATCCGACCGAATTTTGTTGTTGATGCTGGCTGAGTGACGAAGATTTCGAGATTGGTTTCAGGTTGATGAATGTGTTTCTCGCCTGCCTTCCCGATTCTCGCTCGCTTTGACATCCTCGTCCGTTCCGACTGCCTGTAATTGAGACAATGCTCCCTAGATAAGTGAATGAAGTAACCTCTTTCAAATCCCTCCCATTGATGTCGATTGGCGTTGGATGTTTTGCTGCTGTTGTTGTTGGTTGGTTGTTTTCATAACTTCCGTCTTGTCTATGTTCACCTGGAGTCCTGTCTTCGCCAGCTGCTTCTTCGGCCAGTTTGTTGTTTGGTTTTCGCTTGTAAGTCTTCAATTTTGTGTAACATCAAACATAAATCATCCACGCGCGAAATCCAGGTCTCCTAGGTTCTTCACGTTGGTCCAGGATATCGCTGTCGTCTCGTTTTCCGCTGTCTGACACATAATCCAGTCAGTCCACCACAATTAGGAATATCATCGTGAGTGATAATAAGCACCCTTTGCTGACTCTTGTGTTTACTCTAAACGCCTCGCTGAGTTTTCCGTTGTGGATCACTTGACATGCGCCGTTTTCGTACAGCTGTTGTGTATTATTCTTAACTGTATATGTGTGGCACTATTCACTACGATGGTTAATCAGCTTGGAAGTGGAAAGTGTCAATTTGGTGAACAAGAGATTGTCGCAGAAGAGTAAACAGATACTTAAATCATGGAATAATTCAGCAGATATTCAAAGGTATATACTTGGTTACAATAATACAAACTATTTTTTTGTATATTTTAGGTCTATGGAACTGATTTTTACATACGTCTGACAGACGCAAAGCTGACTATTCGTTAAAATGCCACTAACATTCCATTTTACACTACTTTATCTAATTTATCCCATAGCAGCCATATTTTCACTACCATAATGACATATTTTAATCATATAACCTGTCGTAAAACAAAATTTGTCGTCATGTTCACGGAATACTGTCATCATCTTACCAACCAATGATATAATTAGGCATAAAACTGGCCAGATATATATTCAAATGACGATGTATTCCATTATTTAGTTTAATTTGAACTCATTGCTGAACAGAAACATATTTTAACAGATAGACTAGTGAAAAGATAGTGTTATTTCATTTAATTATTAAAATTAACAACTATGAATGACACTTCTATTTTTAAAAAATCACTGAATTATAAAGAATGGATTATAGATTATAGAATTTAAGTGAGCAGAAGGAAAACAAGCAGTTTTCACTGTATTGTGTGGATAATTATTAGACTAGTTATTTTGCTGCTGTTATTTACAATTGATAAAATGTTAAAAATTAACAACCAGAGAGAGAGAGAGAGAGTGGAAATAATTGTGAGGAGAGATAAATAATACTTTCTCCCTTTACTA